ACTCTTATCAGCCTGACACCTTAGGGACTATTTCCAGACCCTATCACGCTAACTGTGGATCGATCTATCTCCATGGGAATTCTCGCTAAATTGCAATCAATGTAAGTGGCTTAGTTGTCTGTCACGCCTACTGAAACTGGCATGCCAGAATCCTAAGACTCTCAAACTGAAAGCAATTTAGTGAGAAACCCCTTGGAGTTGCATTGATCCTGTTAGATTGATCTAGGTATGGGAACTTAGTCTTACGCTTGATACACATTTTACTTTCATCCTAATCCAATGTTATGCAGAATAAGAATTTGATGTTGGCTATGCAGTTACAGTAAGCATAATACATTAGTTCATCAGAATTGACAGTATCCTATTTCCTGCGTTTTTATTTTCTGGTTTTTGTCTGTACATTTGACAGCTTTGCTGCCTTGTTTCTTTCCTCTCTAATTTCCATTTTCCGTTTTATTAGGCGAATATTCTAACCCATTTTGAGTAGAAATATTTTGAGAGAAAAGACAAAGATAATGTAGATGACAAGGTAGACGAGTGATAATGACAAAAAAAAGTTGATGAACCAAATGCCCTAAAATCCAAAGGATAAATTTTTGACGATTTTTGACATTGGTCAGCTATGTCCACAAGCAATTTAATGGCCTGGAATAATCAACAGATTTCACACATTTCAGGGAGTGCACTAGAGGGGGCTTCTGCAATTTCATGCATTTGAAACCAATCTCCAGGGAGTTGAGACGGAAACTGTATGGGAGGCGGCGGCGTAGAAACAGAGAGGTGGAGAAGATTTGTTCAGCAAAGTATGTACTATTTTTATTCTCATAGGGCCAATCTCCTGAAAAAAAAATTGCAAATATTTAGATAGGAAGACTTTTCTTATGAAGAATGATCTAAAATTATGTGTAACTTGGTAATTCTTTAGGTCAAACATTGCTTGAAATGCTTTTCTCTAGCTTTTGGTAAAGAATAGCTTGTAAGTCTTCTACTGAATGTTATCTGTAGTGTGACTAGTTACCAATACTTATGACAACAAGATTGGATTTATAGGCCTATATTCTTTTATTTTTTATTTCAGGTCTCTTCCTTTTGACCAGTCCTCCCGTTCAAGGTCGCGCTCACCTGGGGGTCGTGGGGACAGGCGCAGTCGTAGTCGAGATCGTGACAGACACAGAGATAGAAGTAGGAGTGGAAGTCGTGGGCGGGACCGACGTAGATCAAGAGAAAGATCAGGACGTTTTTAATAGCAGTTTTAGACTAGTTTTAGTATAGTTGCCATCCAACTGAATAGACAATGAGAACCACTGGAGTTCACTTTCAGTTGCCAGGATCACTAACATTGCATTGTGATTTGTGACTTAGCTCCACCTGCGTACTGTGTATCTCAATCCATACAACTTAAAAAGACTGATACCCAGGAGAGTAATGCTCTCATTATTGCCCAATTACCCCCCGTTTTCTTTCATTTATTGGGGATGAGACACAGGAGCAGTGGTCTGGATAGTTTAAAATCTTTTTTTTTTTGTAAATTGATCTTTGAGCAAACTCATTTAACGATCAGATATAACATTCGATGTATGCAGATATTGTTTTTTAGTTGTTCACAATACACAACAAAGAAAAAAGAAATATCAGAGAATAGTTCATTTCATTCTCTTCGTAAAAATATTATGAAATATAATGCAAGTTTGAAAGTAACAATTTGAAGAGAAGACTTCGAATTTGTTTTGTATGTAGTAAGACATTTTTTAAAGACAAAAAGTTAATAAATAATTATACTCTAATATGGGCTTACTTTGTCAATGATTATCGGCGGTGATGTTAATTTAGTACTTCACTTCCAATCTGTTTTACAGACAGCATTTTATCTGCAGAATTGCTGGATTCTGAGATCGTTAACTATGGTGGCAATCATACCCCCAGCAGATCATTTGTTTTGTGCAGCTCAATTTGGTCAGAAAATTAAAAAAAACACTCGTCTGGTTTTAGAAATGGAGGCAATGAAAGTATCATCTTGTCACTTTATTCGAGCAGCTACAAGATTGTACAACTATTGATATTTTTAAAATTATGTTTATCCTTATAATTTTCTCTTGTAATTGCATTATCATGTTCAAAAATGTTAATTTCAATTAAAAATTACACTTATATAAGTCAAGAAATTATTCAGAAACTAAACAAATGTAATATAACAAAGATAAATATCCTACCAATATATAATAAAACTTCACAAATGTATACATATCAAATATAAAAACAAAAACTGACATGAAAGAAAAAGAGTAAAAAATATTGATAAATATCACTAGAAAGTCCTGTAAAACATTTTGATTTGTTGCTTTTGCAAACAAGCAAGTGCTTGGATAAGGAAGACCACAACAGACCTCTGCACTTGCATTATTCATCACAATTCTCAGAACTGTTTCTAAGCTCTGTAGTTACATGGTCACATCTTATCCAGTGAAATGACACTCTCATGGAAATCCTAGTCAACTAAGCCAGTTAACCGACTGCTTTCCCAGGATTTCATGGTTCTGTATAAGGTCAGGAGTCAAATTTAATAGACCCCTCTAATATTTGTCATTGGCTAATTAAAATTTATACAATTATTTACTTAACGTTTTGGTCACCTCTTGACTAGGTTCAACCTGAATCTTATCCCAGCTTTGGATAGAACCTAGCCAAGAGGTGACCTAAACTAAGTCCATAACTGCTTTGTTACATATGTTCACGAATTTCAAAGATAAGTGAAAATAATTAAGACACATTGAGAACTTGTGATTATGTACCTAGCTCATGCAATGGCCATCGAAGTCCAATACGGCTGACTTGACTAGGAGGTCATCTCTCTGAAATAACTGACCCCCACATGACTGCCTCTTGACCAATCAGTAAGGGTCAAAATATGTGATCAATGATCATGTAACTTTGTCAAATACTGCCCAGTTCAGACACAAAAAGTGTTCATGTATGGTCATTTGAAGATAAAGGAGCTGGTCAGCCATGGCCTAGTTCAGTAGTCCTGCCTTGTGTCTCTGTAGTATGTTCACCATCAGCTGTCTTGCCTCCGCGTTCTTACACTGAGAACGCACATCCATCATCAGCTGAGTGAAGTGTGTGCTTTCATAGTTCTCCATCACAGAGGTTAGAATGCCCTGATGTATAAGATGTAATAATTTTTTTAATTTTCAATTTCTGGATTAAAATATGTTTCTCTGTGTGTAAAATGGTAATATGCAAAACACCAATTTAACTGATTTTGAATAAATTGGATCAAATAAATTATATCCAAGGCCTAATTTTGGTTTTTTAATAGTGATGACATTCTCAAACTTTTTGTCAATGATTATATCTCGCGGGTAACAACAGCATTTTCAATGAATGCACAAACTAATAAAATCAGTCAAGTTTACCATTTTCAAGGCAAAATCAGTTCTTTAAAATACATGGTTCATTTATTGGTTAGAATGGTCACTGACAGCACATTTGACATATAATAAACAACACCTTCTAGCAATACCATAGATCTGTGTACATTATAACATATTCACCAGTTTAAAGAGCCTCTATGGAATAAAACAGATAAAGAATACCTTGTGATGAGACCATACTATGATGTACAGAGCTCTGTTAATACTGTGGACCTCCTGGGAAGGAAGCAGTCGCTGGAGTGTCTGGGCATAGTACAGGGGAGCTGTCCGGATCACTTGAGCTGAAGTAAAATAATAGACAATAAAGTAAAATTTAGTATTTGCCAGGTACAAAATGTATCTTTAAAAATAATCTTATGAATCTAAATCCTCTCCCCACATATTGTCACATTATCACACAAACACTCATTTGAATTTATTATAGGCAATCTGAAAATCAGCATCTGTAACTTAATTACAAGATATATATATATATGTAGCCATGTAAATTGCTTTTTCCATCTAAACATGACTTCTGAATTTCACAAGAAAGGCTTTACTGTACTAACTAAAACAAGGTCATCTTGTTTAATGACAATTGACCACATTCCACCCTGAGAAAAAGTAGTATGTACCTGACAAATAATATTCCTACAAAAGTAAAGCTAAGCCATGCCATATTTTTACTAATTTTACACTATTGAAAGATTCAATTACAATATTCTAAACAGCTACTTCCATGATTACAAGGAAAATGTTTGAAACACCAGTTTGAAGAATTGAAACCTACACCCCATTTCCATAGATTTTTAGATCGATCTATCCCTGTGGGGAGTCTCACTAGATTACTGTCAGCTTGGCCGGCTTAAGCGTCTGTCCCGCCTACTAAAAGCTGTCAGGGGGTAATTAACTATGGTGCCCGCTCGGCTGACTGCAATTTAGCGTGAACTCCNTAATTAACTATGGTTCCCGCTCGGCTGACTGCAATTTAGCGTGAACTCCCAGGGAGTTAGGTCGATCTAAATCTTAATCTTTAGATCGATCTAAATCTCTGGGAAAGCACCCCTAGAGTACCATTCCTCACCTATAACTGACATATTTTGCCTTGCCTCACTCAGGTTTGTATCACAGTAATGCTTCTCTATCTCTACTGTTATGTCTCTCTGACATCTCTGCCATATCAAAAATATAGAATAAATGTATTTTTTTTCTCATTGTCTAATGAAAAAAATTCCTCAACATTATTGTAAGTTGTAACAATTATTTTTGTCAAATGGAAATTGATGGAAACCTAGCTCTTTACTTTCATCTCTTTACTTTAATAAATTTGAAAAAAAAAGTCACCATTGCAACAAAAATTACGGAAAAAAAGTTCTAAATTTTCGCTTCTGTCTGACCATTCTCTACAAAATTTTATCAATATGCTGAATTTATAAAATCTCACCTTTAAATAGGACTCAAAAACCTCTTTGGTGTGTTTTCTTGCACTATTAGATAATAATTTAAAGAAGACTTTGTCTCCATGAAAGAGATTCCCACTCTCTACAGCTGATATGACAGTTTCAGTTTCAACACACTCATTGGATTCCCTGCTACTCTGAAACTGAGAGCAGAAATCATCATTACTTTTTATCATCTTTCACATTACACAAAACAGAAAAATACTTAATTTATAATGCCAGGCTACAGTATACATGTAGATCTTTAACTTTTTTATATTTATAACTAATGTTTAGAGTAGGTGATGATTTTTTTAAACAGAAAGTGTGCAGTTGTTTAAGACCAAATATTATCTTTTTTCTCTTGGTAATCACTCAATCACAATCTGACTGTCACAGTTTAGAAAAGTAAATTGAATGAGATGGTATTTAAAGATTAACATTTAAAAATAATTGGTATTACACTTTGTGCTTGTTGAAAAACGATCCAATTCAATAACGACTTTACAAATTTGCAAAAAAAAAAAATAATAATAATGATGATAATAATAATAATAATAAATAAATAAAAATTCTTCCAATTTTTTAACTAAACTAATTTGAGTTTCACTGCAAAATGATAACAACCCAGATAGCATGCATACGTTGGGCCAACGTTGGCCCAACGTTGCCTTGGTTGACCATGCAACGTTGGCCCAACGTTGGGTTTCCATCTAAGTGCTCACTTTGGCCAACGGTTGGCTGAACGTCTTTTTAATGCCAACGCATTGCCAACGTATTCCCAACCAAACTGGGTTGGCCCTACATTGAGNTGGCCCGATCATGCTGATTTTCGAACTTGACCTGCATATTATAAATATTCATCAATTCTGTAAGTTTCAAGCTGAAATAAAAAACAGTTTTCCACTTATCGTGTTATCGGTAAAAGTGCACGGCGACGACGGCGACGACGGCAACGACGGCGACGGCGACGACAGACGCAGATGATGGCTATATGTACAGACACATCTGTGTCTGTACATAAAAATTAACAAGTGATGCATTCCAAGATATGCCCATTTTTCAGACTTCTTCTACTACTGCTACATGATGCTATAATATACAGATACCTCTATCAGTGACCTTAAAGCTTCAACAGTGTCTTCATCTCCAAAGTTTCCATTTTGTAATGCATCAGCCAGGGTTTGTCCTTCACACTGTTTTGTAAACTCAGCACTAAAACCCTCCACATCTTCCTCATCACAGCTCGCAAACATCTCACACAGACTTTCCAAATCTCTGTGTTCAATGCATTCTTTCAGGTAAACTGCACTGGCCTTGACTGTTTCCTCAAATAATAAAGTGAGTCCAAATTTCACAGGGTCTTGAAGTTTGTGGGCACATGCTTCTGGAATGCTCTGCTGGTATTTCTCTTTGAATGCTTCATTCAGCGCAACTGGCATTTCTTTACAGGCACAGATGATACTCACTGCTGTTTTGCCTTCTCCTACGAAAGAAAAAAAATCCAACACATTAAGACATTTTCTGATTGAGGTATCCCAGATCATAGGCTTATTGAAAAAAATTCTCTCATATTCTGCATCACATTTTTGAACAGGGATTTTTTATAATTAAAGTAATCTTATTATTCACCGTGTCTATACCACACAAATTTTGGTGAAATAAATATCTAAAAGATTTAAGGAGAAATACAATATTAAACTGTGCCCATTACTACATTAAAGCAGTCATGTTCTCTTGAACCAGACGTACAAATTGTGGAGCAAATCTGATTTTCATTCACAGCCTAGCATTAAAATGGAAATTAGTAATCTAAAGCAACAACATAATATCAGAGGCAGGCCACCTTTTTCACAAAGGAATAGAACACAATCTCATTAAAACTGTTTTTTTTTCCGCAAAAAAAAAAAAAAAAATTGTGACCAATACCTATCCATATACTTACCTCTGTCAACAGCTGTTTTCAACTCCTCTGCCAGCTGTTCTGTTGACATGGATTTAAAATCTTTTTCGGCACTGCTGCTGGAATTAGGATTGCCGGCATTCCCGTTCTCCTTGGAATTAACACAGCCCATCCTGGGGAGCTGCACCAAGCAGTGTCAGTCAAATGAGGGCAAAGTTTCCTGGGTTAATTACGGCAAAGTGTCAACTGCTGCTCATTGTCATCATGGCACAGGAATCAACACTGAGTACTGCAGCATGTTTCAACTACTAAATGCTGTAATGTTATAAAAGCACATAAGGTCAAACAAGCAAGCAAGCAAACAAACAAACAAACAAATAAATAAGATGTTTTTCATGAAACAGTACTGGAGGAATTTTGGCATATACACAAATCATATCTATTGCTATTTTTTAATCCAATGAATTTTCCACTCGAGTTCATTGACACTGCAATTCCCTTTGTGGGATACATAGTTTCATTGATGTCCAAGCTCTCCCTCATGTTGCAATGAGCACAAGTAATTAAGTGTCATAGTTTGACTTCACTCTGCTTACTAGTGCACACCCGCATGCACAACACACAACACGCACAACACAGAAGCATAATAAAGCAGTTTACTCACCTGTTTTCAAAGATTTTCATTTTAGTACTTTTAAATGTTTTAATATTTAAAAAACCACCTAAATGTTCCCATCCCAAGAGTCATCCTCACCAGTTTACCCCGCCTATTTACCAGAACCATTTGGGAAAGAAATGCACGTACTAGTAAAATCCGAATGGAAGCTCCGTTTCCAAAAAAAAAAAAAAAAAAAAAAAAAAAAAAAAAAAAACTAATCATTCATTAATGAATTTCCAGCCAATCGCTTCTGAAATACCATGATATTTGATCGCACTGTTACTATGCACAGAGTAATTGCTTGTTTATTTATCGTATTATTCCTCGTTTTCCGTTATTCCTAACAGTATCAATTTATGAGAATTTCAATCATAAAATAAGTTCCAAATGTTCAGTTTAAATTAGGAAAAACACTTTTGCACAAATACTGAAAGCAATGTCAGACAACACATGCTGTAGCTTACCAACACAGATGCAACTAGTAATATTTGCTAACACGAAAAGGGCAACGTATGTATGCCGATGCATCATTAGCCTGGTTTAGGCCTCAGAAGTGTTCAAAAGAAAACGAATCAAAGACCTCTAGTAAGCACGTTGGCTTGCACCCCTTTAATGTCTATATTGGTGTTGGTGAATAGTGTGGTGTGTGTGTGTGTGTGTGTGTGTGTTTGGGGGGGGGGGGGGGCACGATGACCTTAATCTGATCGTATGGTGACCGTATGGTGACCTTGGCCTGGCGCGATATTCGTTGTGTAAGTAGGCAAGAGAACGTTGCTGACTTGTTGTTATAAGGTAACATCACTTAATATCAATGTTTTCTCCAACTTGGACCAATATTGACAAGAATTATTTCCCCAAGAATGAATGCGGTTCGGGTCTGTTAATAACGTTAACCAGGGGCGGATCCAGCCAGGATTATTTGAAGGGGATGCGAAGCCTACTCTAGCTCCTCCTCCCCCCCCCCCCCAAACTTGGCCCAGCTGAAGGACCCCGAAAAATGGGTATTTTAGAGGGTGAACTATACCATTTGGTGCGTTTTAGAACTATGATTTAGCTAGTCAAGAGGGGTCCAGAAATCGAAGGGGGGTACGTGGGGGTGGGGGTAAGGATCGACGTACCCCCCCCCCCGACCCCCCTCTAAATCCGCCACTGGTTATAACGTTATTTTGTGTTTGTGATACTGACAGGCTACCTGTAACCCTGTGTATGAGATGTATAATGGAGACATAGGCCTATTGCTCTGCCTGTGTTTTCCAAACAGCTAGTAGGCCTATAGGCCCTATAGGCCTATACCGGTAATATGTGCACACAACAAGAATTACAATAATAAATAAATAAATAAATAAATGAAAGTGTAAATGAGAATAACCTGTAGGCTATATTTTAAAGTTTTGAAAAAAGTATACATTGTGCTTATGATTCAAATTAAAAGATGCCAGCTAGGCCTACATTATAAAGAATTGCCAGTACTTGGTAACATAATATTTTTGTTTCCTTATTTATTCATTTTTTAAATTTATTTAATTATTTATTTATTTTTGTTGTTTTCTCTCTTTTGTTTTTCAGTTGTTCAGGATCAGAGTAAACAAGACTGGCACATCCTAGATAAACAACAATGGTCATCTCATACATTCAAAATTTCTTTAGGATGATTTATCTCTTCGTGGTAGACATGTACAATTTCCCAGATTTACGTAGATACATGTTGACGGTATTTAGAAAGAGAATCTTTGAGAGGAAACACGTTGATACTCGGACAATATACGATGATGAAGGTAACCCATTAAGATCGGCTTGCGTCAAGGGGAAGTTCGTCCCCGATTGGCCACTAGTAGTTGACAATATCGACAATTACGACAAGTTCCACGCCCGCGGTGACGACATATGGATTGTAAACTGGCCAAAATCGGGTAAGAGCTTGTTTTGTGTTAATTGTAAAAACATGGGTATATTAATACCGGTATTTCGCCAACGAAAGAAATTATAAGCACGCAGCAGAGTAAGGATATATCTTTTATTATTAATTTATTTTAAATTGAGAGCATTGTTTGAGAACTGTTTTACAGTTTTTTCAAAATATGCATTTTCAATATGGATTTGAAACGTCCTATACGAATGATGACAAAGTAAAACTTACTTATAGGAAAACTTATTACTAGATAATTAAAAAAAATGTTTTTATGCGTCAGGCACTCACTGGATGTTTGAAGTTGTTACGTGTCTGACTTCCGGCAAAGCACAGCTTCATGACGGTATCAAAGAAAACACCATGTTCCCCGAGTTCTGTCCGGTGGATATTTTAGACGACATGACGTCACCAAGAATTTTAGACACGCATATTCAGCTGGAGCTCTTCCCAGAAGAGGCACTGAAGACGTCGAAGATCATTTACACAGTCCGAAACCCCAAAGACGCCTTTGTGTCCGGTTACTTTCACTTGTCAAGAGATAATTTAGTCGGCTTCCGTGGTGGTTGGAATAATTTTTTCAGGACATCTATGAAAGAAATCAAAGGTGAAGGTTTGAAAAAAAATTTAACAAAGATATACTTTCCGTGTTCTATAAGCTATTCGATTTCCTTGCCACATTAAACTTATGTTGGTTTCTATTATTGATGAAAGTAATGATTTAGATTTGAAACAAATTTAGATTTTGTTTGATGTTGACCAATTTGAACGTTCAGTTTTTATTTATTTTACTGTATTTATTTATTGTTTCTTTTTTTGATAGATAGACAATAAGTTGTCTGCATTTTTGCTACTTGCAGAGGTTCCATACGGCACGTGGTATGATCACGTGAGAGGGTATTTAGCTGCGCTCGAAAACAAACCGAACGCTCTTGTCGTCAAGTATGAAGACATGATAAAGGTAGTCAAACATTGCTTGGCGTGGATCATTGTATAGAAGTAAAAATTCTGACTGCTTGATAGCTTAAATTTCCGTGAATTTTGGCATATTGCATTCGCCGTTTTATTTCGTTCCTGCTTTTGTTTTTAAAAGGGACATTAAAAGCTTTGTAGAATAATTCATTTATTTATTTTAAGGTACCTTTTCCGCCTAGTTGTAGAATCATTTAAATGCTTCCAGGATCTCAAGAAAGAAGTACGCCGCATTGCAGAATTCATTGGCCACCAAAATTCCGAGGAGTTTTATGATGAAGTGGCAAGAGTGTGTTCCTTTGATCACATGCAGAAATCAAAGAAAGAACTGAAGATTATATGGAAGCCAGGAGGATCCATGTACAGAAAAGGTAGACTGGACTGCCATCTATCGCCAACTATCAAAATAATTTGTTGTAATAGGGTCATGCTGAACCGTTTTTGCGCTTAACTCAAAGTGCTAAACTGGGACAGTCGGCTACGTAAATATGACTTTGCCAAATGGCCAAGGACATTTAACGAACGGTTATCCAAAATTTTGTTGATTTAATTGTATGGATATTGTCACCCATTGCTGTAAAAAGACTGTACAGGAGATATCAGTTTCTTCTACTTGTATGGGCACAGTAAAAAAAAACGAAGTAAACGGCCTATCAGATTTTTTGTGTAAAGCGGCTTTATCAGTCAAAACTTTTCTCAGTCTATGTCTTAAAAGAATGTTTGTCAGCAATTATTACACACGTGATGGTGTTTATTTCATTTTATTGTATTTCAGGTATAGTTGGTGACTGGAAAAACATGTTTACAGTTGCACAGAATGAGGAGTTTGACGCTATTTACAAAGACAGGCTAAAAAACCTGAACATAAGCATTGACTTTGAACTAGCATGATCACCCTCTTAACTTGCCCATGTTGCATTTATACAAACTTACGCACAGAGTGTATTTACGACTCAGAAATGCAGGATGCCAGTTAAAATGTTGTGGGAAACATTTGAAAGTAATACACTTAATTCAAAATGGTGCAAAGCACAATTCATGGGCAGGGACGGGTGGAGCAGTGATTTGTGGATTAAACAAATGCCTTTAATATAGGCGATTCCCTTTATTCAGTGCGAACTGATGAAAAATGAATGGTAAATTTTCGTCCCATATTGAACATAGATATGTTTTGTCGTTTATTAAAAGAAATACCGTAAGAGTTGTTTCAATATTCTGTGAAGTATCGATAATGATTTTCTAGCGTGTGTGAGCTACTTGCCGAGACGAACTTTCAGCCTAACTGTCCTGTGCTGAACGACTTTTAAAAATATATGTGCATTCTTTTTTGTAAACTAGGATTGTTCTCAGCTATATTTCACCGTGTATCTTCAGAATTCAAAAATATATATATTTGTCTGTTTTCTTGGGAATAATAAAGATAAACTACAGTTTCCGCTTTTTATACATGACTATATATGCAACATGTACAAGTTTGTGTTCATTACTTTGGAAAAGGGTTTCCCTCTGGCAAAGTTAAACAGTTGTATAACAAAGATCAATCCATGAATGACGGAAATACAGTTTCTCGTTGCCTTTGCATTTTATTTGACAGCTGCCGTTAAAACTTTAAAAAATTAGTTACCATATTTCTTATCAACATTTTTACACGCTTATACTAGTACATGTATGCTACGATGACATCAGGCGACAACTTCAAAAACAAGGCTGCAATAAATGGTATCACAAATAGCTCAAAGAAATTCAGTTTGTCACTAACATACACAGAGCGCATGTCGTCTGAATCAGTTATAATACATGTATGAATATCCCCGCGAAAATTCGCAATTGTAACGCCTGCAGTTCCATCACAATATTGGTATAAACGTGAGGGCGTCACACAAGCCCAGATCGACCACAGATTAAATTCCAATGTTAAATCTTCGTAGATGTTCTTTTATGATGATGCCTCGACAGCCTTCCAGAACTTTCTGAATATTGTCTGTGTTCACTGCGCATGTGTAGAAATAATCACACGAGTGGTTTTCGTGCCAGTTGGCGCCGCCAGATGGCTTCCGAGATCTGCTTGCGATTTCCTGTAAAATACAAGCAAAATATTATAGTAGAATTTTAATTAAAAGTTTTTAGCAGATATCTCTATTAGAATAAAGGATGCAAATACAATCTTCGTTTTGCCAGTTATTCTTTCAATTATTGTTCCAGTAAATAAGTCACTCTGAAATATACGGATTATTTATAAGCTAGGCGACTAAAATCAGTTTTGAGTAAATTATTGCAAATATGTTAATTTCTATTTGCAGCACTTTTAACATAAAGTTAATTTCTTACGTAGTCAGAATAAACGTAAAACGCAAGTAAGCACATTACCATAAATACAGTTTTGATGAAGGTTGCGGTTCTGATAACTTCTTCTCCAATTTCTGCAGCGATATCCTTGTAACTCTGCCGGTGTTTTCCAGGGTCGCTTATCGTCCTCTTCCTACTGACGTAAACTGAAGAATCTCGCATATTGTCATTATAGTCCGGAGAAATACAGGGCAACAGATTCCGATTAGATTTTGAATTGTTGGACGATGATCGTCTGCTTGCAATCCCCGTTGCGTATGGGCAAGTTTGGTCAGCGTCCATAGTGTTTAGTTTTGGGAATGCTTCAACAAATTCTTTTGCGTCTCGCTCTGAATCGACACAAATGAATATGTTAATGATTGATAGTTAAAAATAAAGACCAAAAAGAAGAGAAAAGCAAGATCTATTTTTTATCTTCTACAATGATGCTTGGTGCCAGCCTTGCACGATCGTCAATATTCCATAACCTACTTAAGCGTTGCGTACATATTACTACACCAAAGTGCTCCTACATAAAATAATAGTATGATATTTTTGTTTCACATAATTATAGTACTTGCGGTTGGATTGACCTTATGAAAAAGAAAAAGAAATAGATAATCTAACTCACCTTTTAATTCATATGTAGAAAAATCTTGCAACCTACGAATGTAATCTTTTTGCTGAAATGCAGGAGATGAGTCTAAACCTTGTCTTCTCATTTCTTCTTCCTCGTTCTTCAATTCCTCTACTAATGTGTTCAGCGATTTCTGCTGGTCTATTTTTTCTTTAAGCTGGTCAATTTTGTTGAAGAAGACTAGCACTGACGTGTTCTTTAACCACCTGTAAATCGATAAGATATCTATTTATCTAGCGTTGACGACGAGTTTGGTTACACTTCGCTTTTCAAAAAAAAAAAAAAATCGATTTCTATAAAATTTTTAAAAGCGCATTTATTTGGTGCTCTCCAGATTCAGAAACATCACCTTGAAAAATAGCATTTTACGACATAAGTTTTAAAGGTCTACGTGAATATACTGTACATCTTTATTTAAAATAGGGCGATTTTTTCTAGTGTAAGTCTTCAAGGAAATTAACAAATAGATAATTCTACAGATATAAAAAGAAATAACACAAAACTTTTGTTTTGGACAACCGTATATAAGAAATGTGGGTATATAAATAATTTACGGATTATTCCAAACTTGGTCAAAATTTTCAAGCGCGTCCACCAGCCTGTTTTTCGTTTCATCTTCTCGCAGTTTAACGTCGAAGCTCGAGACGTCCACAACATACAAAATGGCAGTCACGCTGTCTGAGAATACTTGGATCCATTTTCTTCTCTCCCCTTTCTGTCCTCCCACGTCGAAAACACTGAAAATGAAAAAAAGCGTTACAAACATCTGCGTTATTGATTCTTATATACCAGTACTTGACATTTGGTTTTGACTCTGACGAGATCTACTCACAAATGCAAGTAGTAGGCCTACATTTATTTTAAAAAGATGAATAGGCCCCTACATGTTCTAGGGCAAATCGTTCCTGAACAATGATGTACAGTTTCAATTACATATAGATGAATAGATTAAGTCTTCCGCATTTTTTACCATGAGACAAAACCGTTTTCAACTTGGAAATGGTTTTGAAGATATTTTACAGCCGATTTGGAAATGCTCAATATGCGTAGATCTATTATTAACTGTGCGCAATTCCAATCGTATAAAAGATTTATACATGTATATCTTACCTAAACGGTATTGTGGCCCCGTGCTCCAGAACATCAAAATCGATCTCATTGATAGAATTTGTCATCACGCGGCAACGTAAAATGTCCTGCAATAAAGATACAATGTAACTTCGATCCACCAGAGCTTATTGTACCTGTAAATATAACGATGCGATTTTTTTCCGACACACACACTTATAGACTTGAGCAATAAAACATTTTTTTATTTATATCAAAGCGAATTTTGTGTTAATTAGACTGGCTAAATTGGAATAATCTGCATACAGAACACTGTAAATATTCTTACATTAGTGAACAAAGTAGCCTACTCCTTTGGTGCGAGAAAGGTCATTTCTTACATTAATTCTGAGAACTGAGAGTTGTTATCTATACCTGATCACTGGGAACATAGGTGCGTTTTCTTATTTCACCGAGTCTGTCCATGAAACTAAAAAGTAAACAAAAACATTTATTTTTATGACATTAAAATGCACTTTGGATGCCCCTACTTCAGCGACTTTTGCTTAGCCGTCCCATGCACGATAAAATAAAAACAGAGTCGACGTTGCATCCTCACCACGCTTACATTACTAGAATACCTATGCTTTCTCTATGCGAAATTTGAAAGTCAAGTTAGATGATTAAAAAGAAGTTATTATTATGTGACTGTTATCCTCAAGGAATATTTTATAAGCTTAAGAAACGTTTTACTCACTACTGCGTGCTGTCCAGCAGCTGGTATTCGTTGGATCTTCTGAAACACGTCTGGACGCCGCCATCTTGCCATAATTTTGACGTGTGTAGAAAAAATTCCTGGGAAAGAATGAAATATCGACTGTTACGGAGATGGTTCTTATGCTCAAAGTTAAAAGGTAAATAAAGAGGTCGCTTTGACATTTTACTTAAGTTAAACTGTAAAGGTGAAGAAACAACTGAAAATGAAAAACGACTTCCGTCCGAAATAATTTAACCGAAATAATTTAAGAATTACCAAAATTAAATAACGATACGCCCCCCCCCCCCAAGTAAAAAAAAGGTTAAATATGAAAACAGACGTGGAAATAAACAAAATTTCAGCAGTTGTTGGAACGTTGGTAGATTACGAAAACAACCACATAAAAACAAATCATGTATACATGTACCTGTGGGAAATCAAAATCAGGGCGATGCGTGTCCTTGCTGAGGATGTAGTCGTAGCAAGGCTGGTTATCACTGCGCTCTAGCGGAATACCTATAATCTGCATCGCGCCGCATATTGTCTGAGGACAAAATACAGTTGGAAATTATTCATCTTAAATTAGCCAGTTATTAATTAAGGGATATGGCGTTATTTGTGATATTACGGTTTCAACTGTAAAATATACAGCTTTTATCTATATTCTAAATGTTAAGGTTTATTTTTCCAAAATCATGACATTATTATGATTGTTTAAAAATACTGAAAATTAAACAAAACACTAGGATATATATATTGACTTATGCATTAAGCAGACAAAAAGCAAGATACCTAGTTAAACTTGCGACACTCAAAAATGCAGGGAAGCACAAACTCCGTTCATATTAAAGAACACGAGCCAAAATAAGAGACCAATATGTGACAGAACCTCACTTACCGCTATAGAATCTCTTATGTTACGTTTAATATCAATGACTTTTTCAATCCTCTCCCTGAAAGAAAAAGTAAATTTTTATCTTAAAAAATGTGGTAAATAAATTCGTGACTTTATAAAGGTCATCAACATTTACGCTTACTCTTATTATGATATTTACCACCCAATCAATTCCCTATATGTCATTATGCTAACATGATACACTACATATCATTTAATCGTAATTTACCGTTCTAGCAGTAAAAGTGGTTAGAAACAAGGTAAAAATAACAGAGTATCTCTTATTATTTAGATGCCTTTGATATAAATGCCGTCAGTGTATTGTGGCAGATGTGATGTCAACGCAATCGTTCTCTTTACGGCAATATCACAAGCGAGTGCGCTACGTACCCTCTGTCAAAACCGTTGATGTGAATAATCTTCATTTGCTTTGTGATTGTGCTTTTGCCCGCTTCACCGGTTCCTAGGAAAAGAAAAAAAATATGAATGACAGAAATAGACATTTAATGCACACAAGCACAAGCACACACACACACACACACAAACAGAGAGAGAGAGAGAGAGAGAGAGAGAGAGAGAGAGAGAGAGAGAGGGAGCAACAAACCGCACAGAACCTTTTAATCATTTGTTTGGGCTTATTCGGTCAACATGACATTTATTACAAATTCTGCAGCCAGCCAAATAAATGACATAAAAGCCTTATTCCCAGCAACGTTGCCGATTTTATCGCGTGTAAATCTTGTTAAACTGATGGAGGTCTATGAATGTCAGCATAATTAAGGCGTGGATAGCGGTAACGACGCACAGTAAAAGACGGGTGGTTTAACCGGAACAAAAACAGGCTTCTTTAAGGGTTACCGTTAGTAACGGAAAGGTGGACCGTCCATCATTATTTTTTGCATCTCTTAGGGTGCTTTCCCAGAGATTTAGATCGATCTATGGATTAAGTTTTAGATCGACCTAACTCCCTGGGGGTTCAGGCTAAATTGCAGTCAGCCGAGCGGACACCATAGTTAATTACCCCTTTACAGCTTTTTAGTAGGCGGGACAGACGCTTAAGCCGGCCAAGCTGACAGTAATCTAGTGAGACTCCCCACAGGGATAGATCGATCTAAAAATCTATGGAAATGGGGTCTTACACTATTTTTGCATGCGTCAGCGTTCTCCAACTGACATCACTGCTAGTTGCTCGCAGCTGATAAACGGTTCTCTTAATATTTTTTCATTACGTTCTCTATACGTGAAGAAGTGAATTACCGATAAGCACTGCTGCAGACTTACATGCTAACAGCCTCTACTTCATGTCCTTACTGGCCTCGGGAAATCAGTCCGTCGGACTCTAAATTGATTTTTAATTTCAGCTTGTAGAACTATGATTCATTGAATTATGTTGGCAAACACTTGAGATCTGGGTGAACGTTTAACTACTGAGACTTGGAAAGTTCCAATCATCGAATCATAGATACGTGCAAGTAACTACCGTACTTAAAACTCTATATCGTTTGAATATCATTGTTTAACCAATGATTAATTTTCCGACGATTTCAACGTACTTCAAATCTGTGCCAAGGGCTTGTTGGAGCCAAATCGTGACACATAATCGATTTTGTGTTGAACCGACTGTAAGTTAAAATAATTTCAACTCAGCGGAAACGCCTTCAGATATACATACACGGGATGCTTAAGTAAGAGTTGCCTACAGAAACTAACATAGTTGTCATTCGCAGGGACTCTAGCTACAGAATATCATAGGTTTACCTTTTTTGCGGACAAAAAGTACCTCCTGCAGTTCAATCTTTAAAAAGTTCATTAGTCTGGTCCTGAGGAGGGCTCTTGAGTAGAGCCGAAAATTAGACGGCATGAAAAATATTTAGATCAAAACTGTCTGTAAAATGATTAATTTAACAATCCTCCTGAAGTTCACTTTAAAGATTATTATACGCCTTTTACCCACTTTTCAGTCAAGTCTTATCGGTCAAGTCGATACTGTATTCCATACTCAGTGACCAGCTTAATAGCAGTCGTCAATAAACTCGCTTACAGTTGCTTGGTTTCAAAAGGTTAATTCTTTATTTAATTGTGTATCGGCATCTTCTCAATTCAGGCGTACGCAGCCATCAAAGGGTATTGAGATAGCTCGGACTTTTACATCACTTTCCGTGATTCTGTATAAATAACTGATTTTAACATTATGATGCCAATGTCTTTCAAACATGGAAGCTGACACACGTTGGATGAGAGTGCGTCTCTACATCATCTTAATAATCCCAAAGCCATCATGGCTTACTCACCTAGAAGTAAAAGTTTGTGTCTCCTCAGATCGTGCCTATGTTCTCTCTTTAGCATTCGGTCAATCCGCTTGCTCTGTTGGGCAGATTTATCCTGATCTTGGCTTCCAAGGAATTTCATATTGACCGGACCAACGCACGAGCACATCGTCGTCTCTGCGTCTGACGGTCTCGGATCAGAGGACCGCATTTTGTAGCGCTTCAAGTTTCCCGCGGTCTCTTTCTGGAATAAATGGATTTGGCATGGTTAATGAATACTCCCCAGTTTCAACAACCAACGGTCCCGCTTAACTTTGTATGTAACTTCTTGAAGTTGACTTCTAATGAGGGCGTATTCAAACAATAAAAATACTTCAGAAATTAATATTTTTCCACGAATTTATCCTGTCGACGTGTACTTATGAAACAAATTTTTCCAAACTCGCCCACAGGGGCAGTCAGCCAATGAAAGCGGAATATGTAGGCAGGGTGTTTGCGGGTGGGTTAACACAGCGTGGCTGCGCAGTTACCTAATTTCATGAAGAGTTTCATAGTGAGATTTCATCTCGGCTATTTTTGATGGGCAAACTTTACCGTGCACGCCCACATGGGCTGGTTGAAAAAACGTCGCTTTTTATCATTTTTTTTCTTTAGAATGTTTTGACCGTCAAACATATACACACGCTTGACATTTACTTGAAGAAATACCTTGCACATGTGAGGAATCCATTGTAAGAAATCAAGGTAATCAAGCCCGAGTCTGCTAAAAGTGTTTATTGATGCATGATACAAACAATAACGTTTTTTGTAATAATCACACGTGAATTCGGCGTCACGTTGTCAGGCCGTCGCAGTGACCGTAGTGAGAAAAGTCGATTATTGTGAAATTACGTGTCTTACTCCTGCTACATAAGTATAAAATGGTGTCTGGATTCCACTAACTCAAGTAAACTATATGCATTTTGAAAAAAACTCCCGAGTACATTACTTGGTTTATCCTTTCAAATTATACACAGACAGAGCGCGTATACAAGGAATTAAAGGAAATGAAAAAACATGAAATATAAAGTATGAAGGCAGATAGCTGTTCTAGGCACTTGGAACCTTTTACCTCTTTCTTTTAAAGAGAAGTGAAATGTACACACGTGCCTCGAAATTCTCAGGTTAGTTAACAACCCGATAGTGTCTTCAACACCGTTTATGGCTGGTTGTGACGTCAATCCCTCTTTATCGCCAGCGCGTGGCTGTGATCTACGACCATTTAATAAGTTTTCATCGACATCCAAACTTCTTTGTATACAAGTATATTGACTATCTTTGATATACAGGGAATAATAGAGGGCGTTTATGAAACATTGTAATATTTTTGGTAGCATGATAACCCATGGGTCAAGCGATCCCTGTACATCGCCTCGGGATGACGTCATAATCTCTTCTATTATGTTCCTTCACCTCGATACGCCTGAGAGTTTGGGCAGGTTCCATATAAAAATAGCTCTGTCTGAGCTTTAATGCCAACTTCAGCTGGGACGATTGAAATAGATTTCATTATTATGACTCCCTTATGCTAGCAGCTTATTGTTATTTTTATGCTTAAATGCTTAATTGTGAGTCATGTCTGATTGGCTACTATTTTGGTATCTTTTAATTATAGGCCGCACAATTGTACGGTAACTAAAAGCCAGAAAAAATATGACAGGAGGTCAATAGAGCATAATTCTGTCAGCAACGTGAAACAGAACAACACATACTTTGGCCTTTACATCGAGCGGTACACATAGGCGATTCATTCTGTAACGGTCCACTTAGACAGGTCACAGGGGGTTGACTCTCTTTCACAAGTTTTCCAAGAGTGCGCTTCCTGCTGTTTAGTTAAAATGATTAATGGTCTTTCCGAGTGCGGAGGCTCATTTCAGGTGTATCTGTTACAATACGTTTGGGCAAATCATAAGGTAATTACTTGTTCAAGATATACGTGATAGCCTGTTTTTTTAAGTTGTCAATCACTCATATTGTACCGGGATAGAGTATACCGCTGGGTGTTAAAAGGCACGTAAACACCAACAGTAGCATCAGACACATGCGCTTTCATCCAACAACTTTCAATACCATAGTGTTGGGTGCAGGGGTCTTTCCTGCTCAGGGTGATCAGGCCCGTAGCCGGGGGGGGGGGGGGGG